TTAACATTGCACCATCTGCCCCGGGCAACTCGCCTATTCCTTCCTTGTTCTCTTCTGAGTAGTAAACAAATTTAGTAAAAGGAAAAAAAGAAAAGGAACAACAAAGGGTGCACTGCAAAGTGGTGGAGAGTGGGAATGGAATGACACCATTGATACAAGATTACAGGCTGTTTACTGGAGGCTACTGTCAGGCCCCAAAGACACCTGCTTGCTTCCCTATCTGATACACCCTCTCTGCACAGCTCTAACAAAAAATTATTAAAAGGAAATGGGGGTAATATTGCACTGTAGTTGGCTTTATCTGTGAAATGCTGTAACTGCCATAGAGAAAGGTCAGTCTTAATCATCTTTGTCTTTCGGAACGTAGCTCAAGCAACCCCTCCACTAGGCAACCATCCCTGGACCAGCAGCCCCTACCTGTACACACCTCCACAAAACTCACAGCCAACCCCTCCCTTCTCTGGGCTGCTTCTGTATCTTGTACTTATCTCTACTATTGGTCTCATCACATTGTAACATACTATTTTTACATCTGTCTCTTAAATTGATGGAGTTCATGGATTGGTTTGCTAGGGCTATCATAACAAATTACTACAGATTGAGTGGCTTAAACCATGGAAACTTATTGTCTCATAGTTCTTGAAGCTATAAGTCTGAGACTGTGGTGTCAGCAGGGTTGATCCTTTAAGGAAAGCTGTGAGAATCCATTCCATGCAAACTGCTTACTTTTTAGTGGCTTGCTAGCAACTTTTGGTGTTCCTTGGCTTATAGATGCCTCACACCTATCTCTGCCTTCATGTTCACACACCACTCTCCCTGTGGGCATGTCTGTCTCTTCATATGACATTTTTTTATAAGGGCACCAGTCATATTGGATGAAGGACATACTCTACTCCAGTATGATCTCACCTTAACTAATTCTACCTGCAATGACCCTATCTCCAAATAAGGAACTGAGAGTTAGGACTTCAACATATGAATTCAGGGGGTGGGTAAGGGTGGGGAGGAGTGGAATACAATCTGTAACAGTCAGGTTCCACGTTTTATTCATCTTTGCACACTTGACACCTAGCACAGTGCCAGATATTTGCCTAAAGTCCAAAAACTTCAAATTATATGTTTAATTGTCTTAAATACCTCTCCCTCTTTCAGTGTAGATGTAGGTCTAATTGAACATGGAAGCTATGTTTTTTTCTGAAAGGTAGAATCATCAGGAAGCCTGAAAATCTTGGAAAAGAATGGGTCTCTCTGATCTCAAGAGTCCTCAGCATCATCTGAGGCTTTGATAATAACATCCACTGCAGCCCTCATGCAAGAGGGCTGCACATGACAATGTACGTCAAGTCCACAATCAGGCACATACATGTGATCAGCCTTTCGCCAGATTCCTGTGATCTAACACATAAAGAATGAGGCTCTTAAAGCCTGCACACCACATTCATTCTGCAGATACCTGCAAAGACAGATCGCCACTCTGCTTTCATTTTACCTTATCATCTATTAGAACCCAAGGATGATGGGATGCAGGGATGAAAAGGGCACAGGACCATCTTAAAGAGGCTTATGTCTGGGGAGAATATAGAATGTGGCGAATATTGAAATAGTGTGAGGGCTGGGTGTAGTGGGAAGTCGTGAGCAGTGGCTGGATCTTCCAAGGAGAGTAAGTGAGCCAAACAAGGAGGTGGGCAAAGGTCTTTCCAGGCAGTGGGTATTGTTTACGAAATCTCAAAGATCTGAGAGCAGCAAATACTACCAGCTGGCTATGTGACTGCAACCCAAGGATCTGGGTTTAGGGGTCAGATTAAGAGCATCAGGCAAGCCCCACTGAGGAGCTTGGACTTCAGGCAATAACTGAAGGGTTTTAAGCACTGGCCTAGAACTACCAGATTTGCAATTTAGAACGATCATTGACCTCCAGTAAACAAGAATTTATTGGAGGAGAACTGCGTGAATCAGAGAATATAGGTTAGGAACCTATTGCGTAATCCAGAAGAGAAATAATCATAGGCTCAGGAACTAAAGATGGGGGCAGAGGGAATCATAAAGAGGTCATGGACACTGCCTGTGCACACCCAGGTCCCCTATCATCCTTGGCAGCATTTTCTGTGCCCTCACCCCCTCCAGCTGGGCTTGGGCTTGAACGCCCACATCCCCCCTTAGCTCTGCTTCTCCTTTGGAGACATTATTTGGCCACTGGAGGGGCTTTGTCTACAGGCAGAAAGATCTCAAAGCAACTAAAAGTTCGCTTTCCACACACCAGCACCCCCATCATTACTAACACCTCAAATCCCTCAGTTCTTAGCCAGTGGTTATAAAATATAAAATATAAAAGCCTAGTTGCTTGAGTCTGCTTGAGACAAATTTTAAGGCATAAGTTACACTTCAAAGTTCTCCATTGTATCAGGCTGAAAACACACGCTTCCCTGTCTTACTTCTTTTGTCCCTTTACCTACTCTTCCTGGAAGCACTTGCCCTAAGAAGTCACCTACACATACTTCTTTACCCTGAGAGGTCCTTCTGGTGAGCTTGTCCTAAGACAAAACATTTCAGAGCTATTAAAAAAAAATTTAATGTGCAGAGCTTGGTAGGTGATTAGATATTGGAAGTTCTGCTATTAACTAGAAAAGAAAAATTCAGTGACACTCAAACTATGCTTACAAACAAGTATTTGGGGAAAATCAGGGCAAATGTTATTTGAATAGAAAGTTAATTCCAAAGTTTAATTTTTATTCATCCTTTGACTATCTGATAAGAAAAAACATGTGTATTTTTAATATTTAAAATTCACTTAGGGCATGAATAGGGTGCCATGGAAATCCATCTTTATTTAGTAGGATTTAAATGAAATTACCTTTCTGTTAAGAAGGGAAAAATGGTTTGAGATGCCTACTGGCCACATGACGCTGCCCCTCAGTGTCCACTTCTGTCCACCCAGCTCCCCTTCTGTGCAGTCACTGGCTTTCTCCAAATGTCTCATATTCTTCACTTCCCAGAAGTGGATTCTGCATAAAGTTCTCCACTGACTGTTCTCATTCTGGCCACCCATGCTTTCCCTTTACTTTTGAGCAGTGTGCTTTCTCTTCTTTTTTCCTTTTTAAATTTATGAATAAACCAATGTGGTATGTTCTATGAAGTCTGAGCTTGTAAGGCATGATTATACCTGAGAAAGACTTTCTGTAAATTAATCCTCATATGGTATAAATGCATCATAAGCACATATAGAGTTAGTTATTGCAATCAAAAAAATTTACGACAGAGTTAATCTGATACAAATTTAATATCTAATTTTCACATAGGCAAAGTAAATATGTAGTTTTGAAGCTCCTTTTAAAGAAGCTGTAATCAGTATTGAGGCAAATCAAGTTTTCCAATTGCACACAATTTCAACAGTAAAGTCCCTAGATTTTCCCCACCCCACCCCAGTAATTACTATCCAACTACACAGGGGGCCTATCCAGTGTTGAACCCGGTGCTGTAGACACAGAGAAAATGGCAGTGTGGTCTCTGTCATCTGGCAACTGGGGTTCTCTGATTCTTACCCCCAGCCCCCAGCAGCAAGGACTGACATTTCTTGGGTTCCCATCCTACCCTCATCTCCACTCTCGCATTGCCAGACTCTGCCCTTCATCAGAACAGTCCTTGCACAATGCCTCCTGGGGTCTGTCCCCAAACTCCAGGCTAGAGCCTCAAGTGTGTCGAAACTCTGGCCCGTGATCCCATTGCCTCTCTGACTAAATCAAGTGGGTGTCAGCAGAAGAATTACTGTATTAGCTTCAGGATGGAATGGATACAAAAAAAGAGATAAGGCACAGTGAAAAGGCTTCTAGATCTTTAAAGATGGGAAGTGCAGGTGCAGTGGAAGGCTCTGAGAAGAGCAAAAAGCAAGGATGCAAGAGCAGAGGGTCATTTGGTCACGAAGACACAGCCCTGTAGGCAAGTCTCTCTGGGCCCAGGTGTTGTCCTCCCTGGCCACTATACGCAGAGTTCTTCCTTCTGAGGAGAGCTGAAAGGAATGTAAGGTGAGTGCAGAGATGATAGAATAATAGCTATAGTGTGCATTAGTTGTTATGAGCCAGGGACCATGCTAAGCCCTAAATTCATTATGTTATTTAATCTTCACAACCATGCTCTGAAATCGTTATTATGATTCATTTAGTGGATGGAAAAACCAAGGCTAAAAACCATGTCCCAAATCAAACAGCTTGTGAATGGCAAAACAAGGCTTTGCATCCAACTTTTCCTGACTTCAAGCCAATATTCTTAACTGCTTTACTCTATAGCCTTTATGGAAGACACCAGATCTGCTGTCTTTCTTTAACTTATAGTAAAACACAGTATGATTTTAGACACAAAGAAGTGACACCAGTCCCCCCTTCCTTATCACTTGCTTTTTAGTTCCTGTGATAAAATTGAAGAAAAAGAATACTTTGAAATATTCTTTGTAATTTGGAAGAGGTAGGCATTAATGTGAATGCGATTTGATTAAATATAAATGGCTAGAAGAGCAGTAGTTGAAATCAGGAGGATGCTATCACGCGAAAAAGACTGAAAGCAGAGACTGGAGATGCCGAGACACAAGTCACCGAACTGACCCTTTTGCCAAGTCTGGTCATATTTATATGTTGCCAAACATAGTCAGAGGCTGGAAGAGGGGTTCTTTGCACTCCATCTGGGCTCCTGAGCAGTGGACCCCAGCCCAGAGCCCCCACTGAGGAATTGGCTATGAATGTGGAGGTAGGCAGCTTGAGTTTCAGCTCAGCTTCAGGGAGAGGGGAGGTGTCCCCTGAAGAGAAAAAAATCACACTTTCCCTTTTATCCCCATGTTAAGACCTATCCCAATAGAGGCTCTACAAGGAAGAATGAGTATGCAACATGAATTCCTCTATTTGTTCCCCAAATTTCTTTACCCCTCTCTTGTGTGGAGAGAGATAAGGATGATGACTTGGATTTTGCATACATTCATCCCTTAGGGACAGAAAGATTCAAGACATTGCACTCAGTTAAGTAACTAATCAGTTTAATTGATAGTAGATGGACATTAATTCAAAAATTCAAGTGAAATGTTTGGCTCAGCATTGGGCCGCCTCACAAGGTCTTCGTGCATCCTCCTAGTGGAATTTCTCAGAGCCCAGAACATCACGGGAAGCGCGAAGACTCAGATACATGAATAGTCAGCACATCTCTTTCAGGGACAACTCACAATTACCAACCTCACATGATAGATAACTAAACCTGATGACAATTTATTAAATGTGTCGAGCAACAGCGATCCCAGGGACTGAAGGACTTCAAGTCCATACTGCTGGTTCATCTCTGGTTGCAGGTGTACTCCTATGGAAAGCCAAATTACATTGCAAAATTTGCTCAGGGGCCTGGGAAGCAGAACAAAGAGAGAGAGAGAGAAGCAAATATTTAATGGCATCAGGCTGAGATAGCCAGATGAAACCATCTTGCAGAACCGAGCCTAGGATCCCTCACCCAGGATGCACAGTACTTGGGGGTGTGGACCGGCACTGACAAACTGGCATCCAAGACTTTTTTTTTGTTTTCATGACTAACCAGTGCTTTTGTCTTTTCTTTTTTTTTTTTTAAGACATGGTAATACAATTATATTTGTTACCAATTAAATTTTATAGGCCTAGGAGCCATTCTGTCTTTTTTTAAAGTAACCTCCTTTCTCAGTTTTTATCCATTGCTTGTTTATCTTGAAAGTAAATTCTCTGATAATCTTATTTCCCTCTTAGAGACAGCCTTTCCAAGCTCAGAAAAATCCTGATGTAAACACATACCCACTGATAACAGTATGCATTTTAACATTACTGGTGAACATAGCATATGAGAGGCAGATTAAAAGACTGAATAACTTCCTCTGGCAAACCAAGAATGCTAGCAAAATATATTTATATTGTATTGTGCATCCATTTACTCATTCTTTCATTCAACAAGTCTTTGTTGAGAACCTATCATTGTCTTGCCATGTTTCAGACACAGGGAAATAACGAAGCAGACTGACAAAGTCGTCACTTCCATGTATCTTCAAGTGAGAGGCAGTGAGACAAACCACAAACAAAATACAAAGTAAAAGAGAAAATCACAGGCAGTGGCTAGTGCACTGATAAAAATAAAACATGTCTTATAGAGAGACTGGGTAGAGTGGTCAGAAAAGTCCTCTCTAAGGTGATGACATATAAACTGATAACCACATTACAAGAAGAAAATAGCTGTATGTCAATCAGAGCAGAGCATTCCACACAAAGGGTGCATCTGGTACAAGTCATACATCTTCATAATATGCAAAACATCTCTCGTGTATGATAATTTCACAAAGATTTCTGTAAGCAGCAGTTGTGTTGTACATGTTCTCTAGAACATTGAGGAAATGCTCTAAATTTTAGTACTTTTTGGTTCCAGGATACTGTGCCTGGAATGTGTAACTGTTGAGATGGAACAATTTTCTCACTTTATTCACCCAACCATTACATATGTGGTAGATGATTAAGAAGGTAAAAGAGAACTGCGTACAGTTTGTCTCAATTCCTCCTTCCCCCACCAACAGCCTTAAAAACCGGACATGATGCCAGCACAGTTCTAATGCATTTTCTGAAGTGGCGATAGTGACCATTGATGCTCTCATATATGCATTTAATTTTCTGAGCAGGGAGAGACTTGTTTGGTTGTATTTGCATTCTTTGGATAACTCTTACTCCTCATGCTAAAAGCAAAAAAGGTAACAAAAGCTACCAAGTTTGAGTCTTTCTTCAGATCTAGCCTCTGATTTCCAATAATTGGGGTCATGCTTAATTCTCATTTTTCACATCGATTGTAATAGACAAGGAAGGAAAACAAAAACTAGGAATAAAGAATCGATACATTTTTAGTGCCCCAGGTTTTATATGTCAATACTATTTATCATCAAGCTGAAAGCTGCCCTTGTGAGGGAAAGGGAATGAGCATTTTGTCTCCTTCAGTCCATACGGTAACAATGTCTGAGCTTGTGGTTTGTGGGTTTCCTTTGGCAGATTCCGCCCCTCTAGATACTTTTCTGTTGTTTCCTAATTTAAAACTCACCATTTTAAAGTGCTCTGTTTTTCCTACTTAATGTAGGAAAACATCCAAAATGTTCTAGTGAAATAGTAATTTGCTATAAAAACAGACACATTCATAGTTCAAGAGCTCACCTCGCAAACATTGCAATATCCATGTCACTTACAGTTAGCTTTTAGGATGTTGTTCCCCAAATACATTCCTGTTGTATAAGTGTGATGGAATTCGCCTTACCCAAACATCTCCAAGCATCCACATAAGTGATATTCCAATGGGAATTAACCACCAGCCTTAGAGTGAGAAAAACTTTGTAAAAACTTCATGTTACCCCATACAGGCCATAGACTGCCAAGTCCTTCCCTGCACCCATCCTTTCCTTTTTATATAACAAGATGCAACTTTGTTTACTTTGCATTAAAACTTTAACCAGAGTAAACTGAAATATTACTAGGACACTTGCATTTCCTTCGGTTATATAAGTCATCCTCCTCTACTGACTTCTCCTTTAACAGCTAAGAGTGTGGTAAGCAGTGGCCAAGGGTTTCTAAACCTGCTGTGGAGTGCTTAGGACTGGACTTTCTATAAGAAGTAACAATGTCTTGAATATTCTTTCCCAAGAACTGCAGAGGAAGTTCCCAATACTTGCATAACATTGAACTAACCAGCCTGATCATTTCAGTCAAATAATTCAATTTGTATTTAGCAATTAAATAAAAATATTCAAACATGAAAAATCTCCAAATGTGCATCCTCATTCTGTTAGGCTTTAACAGCTATGTTGCTTTATACAATATCCAGATTGTCTGCATAAGACATGGATACAAAGATTTCAGTCCTAGAGAATATTGAAAGCAGTAACAGAATTTTTAATGAAATGTATAAAATGAATATCCAACTGAGAAATGCAGACATCAATTCAGAATATCAACATAGCTTCCTCATTTCACTTCAGAAATTTAAAAACTACTTAGGGACATTGCATTAAATTTCCTGCCCTTCAGCTGATTTATTAAGACCTTGGGCAAGTCAATTTCTTTCAGAATACTTCAACTTACTTACATTTGTGAAACAGGAATGGGATCAGCTCTAAATAGATCTGTCCATAAAGTTCTGAAGTTGCTTCAAATGGAGGAGTTAAGCACCTCTGGTGTTGTTTTTACTGAGTGATTCCAGTAAAACACTTTCAAAAACCACATTTCAGTCTCCTATTAGACACCAGAAAATATAACACAACTGCATGTCACACTCCAGTCTGGGTAGTTCTATCTCATTAGCTACCAGCTTATTTGCACATTAGTTGGTAACCCATGAAAATAAGTGAACCCTTTCAAGCACCTCAGTGATTAAGGAAAACACTGGGCAGCTTGTGTCTAATCCTCTGTTCCTGCCTTTGATCCCAAGGTATCTGCTGTGGTTCCTGACTGGGCTTTGCCCCATAACTCAGGCCTTCTGGCTCCTTCCCCCAGAATGGCTCAAAAAACCTAGATGTGTGAAACCCCTTTACCTAGACCAACCTTCCCATGATGCTGCTTTTTGAAATTCACTTTCTCATACCCAGAAACTTGACAATCAAACTGTGGATCTTTTTTAGCTTACCATGGGTTACATCTCACTATACCCATCACACTTTGAAAATATCACAAGTCAAATGTGCATTTAATACATACACCTAACCTGCTGAACGTCACAGCATAGCCTAATCTACCTTAAATGTGCACTTACATTAACCTACAGTTGTACAAAATTATCTAACACAAAGCCTATTTTACCATAAAGTGTTGACTATCTCATGTAATTTACTGAATATTGTACCAGAAGTGAAAAATAGAATGGTTGTATGGGTGCCGAATGGTTGTCAATGTATCAGTTGTTTATTTTTGTGACATTGGTTGACTCGGAGCTGCAATTCCCCACAGCTGCCCAGCATCCTCAGAGATAATCATACCCCGTACCACTAGCCTAGGAAAAGATCCAAATTCAAAATTCAAAGTACAATTGCTACTGAATGTGTATCACTTTTTCACCCTTGTCAACTCAGAAAATCAAAGTCAAACCATCATAAGTCAGGGACCATCTGTACCCACATGTGGATCAAAAGTGCTTTCTTATATGACTAATGGAGTTTATTCAGATTACTGCAGTTCAAAACATTATGTGCTCTCAGGCTGTATGTATTTTCCCACATACTAACAAATACTAACTGAACATCTGCTAAGCACATACAGTAAGTGTCTCTCCCTACTGTGTAGCCATGTAATATATTATATTGTTCAAGGGAGCTATCTTGTTCTGCTGCTTCAGTGTCAGAAGGACCTGTGGATATAGTGGAATATCACCCCCATATGCAGGTCATATTCTGTGTCACGGTTGATCAACCTGCCCTCATCACTAAGACCATAAAAGGGACAGGGCTCTTCCTGGTGAGAGAGACTTGAAATCTGAGAGGGATTTGACCCAAGGGGCATCTCTGATTCTGGCTTTGAAGATTGGAGGGGGCAGGGGTGGTGGAATGTGACAAGGACCTGAGAGTGGCCTCTCAGAGCTGAGAAGAGTCCCAAGCAGACTGCAAGAAAATAGGAACTTTAATCCTACAATGCCTGGAACTGAGAGCGCTTGGGAGGGGACTCCAAGTATCCAAATAAGAACTCACCACAGACAACACCTGGAGTGTAGGAACCCGAGCAGAGAACACAGTTGAGCCGTGCCCAGACTGCTCAACTAAGAAGTGTGAGCTTGATGCCGGGGTTCTTGTTTGTGGAGCCGAAGAATGAGCTTCACAAACAGTCAAGGTAGGAGAGCAAGGTACAGGCTTTTATTTAGAGATAAAGTGAAAGGACAGAGCTCCCTGCTCATGCCAGGAGGGGACAAAAGAGTCCCTAGCGGTGTGTTGTCTAGGGGGTTTTATAGGCAGTTGAGGACTTTTTGAGAACATGAAAAAACTTAGGGGTGGGGACTTGTTAAGTGATCCCTGAATATTAAAAATTAACTTAACTGTAAGGAATTTCCTGCCTTGATTTCTCTCTGGGACACCAGCGCCTTGGTTTGGGAGCATATAAAAAGGCTGCCTGCCCAGCCCCCAAGGTGGGCTGAGGTATTGTCTACTTGCTAAAGAATCTTGCCTCTTGAACTTCCTGGGTGTTAAAATGCAATCTTATCTTCAAGATGGAATTCTTCCTGCCCTTTACTATGCGTCTACAGCGGGGTCTGCATGCCAACTTAGTTGCTCAGTTTGCAGAATCACCTCGTCAGATCTGAAGGAGGAAAGACAGCACACAGGCCTGGGCCTTTTAGCATGCTAAAGTGAATGTTACACATGGTTACAAATGATTAGCATAATAAAACATGTGCTACCCTTCTTTATCTGGGGAACATTAAGTGATTTCACTGAAGAATGATTCTAGAGCTCAATGTTTAACATTGAGTTTTAGCAGGCGGGGTTTCCTTGCATGTAGTTACATTGCTCGGACTACAGATATCCTGCCCTGCCCACTCCGGAGGCTCTCACTCTATTCTGACTACATCCACGGTCCCTGTCTCAAGCTAATAAATGGTTGTTGTGTTAAGCTGCTATGTGTGTGAGTACTTTGTTACACAGCAATAGAAAATTAAATGTAAGTGACATATCCCACTGCTAGATTGTAAACTACTTTAAAACCAAGGTTTTGTGTACTTCTGTAGATCTCCTAGGTATCTTTGGAAATAAACATGTTAGGTTGACCCTTCCATTGAGAATCTCTTCCTATGTCTACTCAACTGGCTTATATATGGAGCACATAAAAATCCTACTAGTACAGACATTGCTTTCAGGCCTAGATTCTTGTTCTAGTTTCATAAGGACATGGGTCAACTTTTTTAAGAATGAAGGAAGAGGTCATTAGGACTTCCAAGTACCACATTAAAAGAGACACGTAATTAGGCTTTCTGAAACCTGTACTTCTTCTCCATAACTGTTTTATTTGTTCCCCCAGACAGTTGTGGCATTACATAGGAAGAACAACTAACAGAGTTTTCAAAGACTCAGGAGTTAACTGGGTATGACAGTTAACTAAGTGGAAGTTAACCAGGAACAAAGGGGGGAAGAACATTCCAAAGAAAAGAGATATTTTATGAAATATCTGGAGGAAGAGAAGAATAAGCCTGTTCAAGAACTCGTAGTATTTCAGTATGAGTGAAGTCTAGCGTGGAAGGGGACGGGGCAAGTTCTGGGACATGAGAAAGAACAGGAACCATAAACTTTTGACTTTTCCTCTGGTTCTAAGACTACCTTTTAGTATGGGAATTCCCAGAGGGGTGAACTGCTCCCCAAAGCCCAATGGGGTGTCTGCTCTGGTGTCAGATAAGAGCTAGTGAGCCTGGGTCCCTAGTGGTACACGTCCAGTGTGGGAGCTTTCCTCAGGAAAGTGTCTTACTTGGGTCCAAAGAGCACACTGATGAAAACCCCAGAGAACTACTCCCAAGTGAAGCCCTACATGTTGGCAACTGACAGGAAATAAGTGGATTTGGATTCCCAAGAATCTGTCAAAAGGGCAGGAGCAGTAATGGATTTCAAGGTTCTCCAGACCCAGAAGAGTAGGAACATAGTAGGAACATGGAGAGCCTTCTTTGGGTCCAACTGAATTACCCATTAGTTCTACCAAATGGGCACATCAGGACATGCAGAACAAGTTAAACTGTACCCACTCCCCCCTTGAAATTCTTCTGAATTAGCCTGCTGTGGATTTACCTAGCTGTGATGTCTAAGCACTTCTATTTTTCTTAAGGAAACCTACAGTTTCACTGCAGACTGACCCTTATTTCTAGTTTACTACACGAGATAGTGATCTTTCTTACACCAAGTTGATATTTTCAAGGGCAATTAAACTGTTCTTATCTTTCACAGAAAGAAGCTGTTTTTTTCCATGGTTTTGATTTCTAAATAAGGTTCTACTCCTTGCTTTTGCTAATGTGGAGCAAGGCTGGGAAGGACGGAGTTAAGGCGAATCCTGAACAAACAAGGCAGGGGGTGAAAGAAAAAGCCGCTTTTTCTCCCCAGAGGTCTTTGACATGGAAATGTGCCTCCTAAAGATAATGGGGCGGGGAGGAGCCCTGCTGGTGCGGGAGGTGAGGAAGGTGAGACCGAAAAAACTAACGCCCTTATACCTCCTTAAAACAAATGGCAGGAATGAAAGAATTCACTGTTGTGCTCCTCACAACCTCCTCAAGGAGAGAGAAGGTGGCAGGGCACTTGCTGTACACCAGGTCCTTCGGAAAAGAGAGTGCAGGCTGCCTGCACCCTCAAACGGCAGCACCTCACACACAGTCAGCTCAGTGGAAAGCGTAGGCAAATTGGGTTTCTTAGTTTTCACATTCAGATTGTGAAAAAGGGGTCCCTGAGAGAGAAAAATAGACCTCTGTTATTTCATCAGTGGTTAATCAGTGAAATTTTAGAGTTTCCCACACTTCATCCCAGTGCACTTTTTTTTCGGGCTTTGACCAGCCCCACCCCCGTCACCGTCGTGCACATTGCACGGTGGCCTGCTGCTCCTTTCCTTCTCCAGAAGGCGCCCAGACAATGGCTGTTGACAAGCCAGCGCGGGAACCTGCCTGAAATTGCCTCACCTTCTCTTGTGTAAGTGTAACCGTTGCTCTTGTTGTCGGTTTAAAAGTCATCTTGGTGAAGAAAAAGTTATCACAACATGGACATGGGCTGTTGGTCACAGAAGGCCAAGGAATGGAAAATCCTGGAATTGACCTTACCCTGACATTGCTGACTGAAAGTGGTTAGGATGGAACCTGACACGTATTAAAGGCAGATTCTTCCAGCAACTCCCCTGCTCCCCCATCCAATGCTTCTGGGGACTTGGTAGGGAAGAGGCATTTCTCCAGGCGTTAGGAGTTCAGCCCATGTTTGGCCCCCTGCTAAAAGGAGGCTGGCAGGAAGCCGGGGGAGTGGTGGTTTGTGCAGGAAGCCGATTGCCACATGGACCATGGAGGTGTGGGTAGAGGGTCTCTGCAACCTCTCCTTTTCTAGATTGTTCAGTCACCAACACTCCAGGATCCTTGTTAGGAAAGGAAAAGATTGCTGCTCCGTGCTTCCTGTGCAGAAAATGAAGAGACACAATAGAAAGCAAAAAGGAAATGATGACTGTTATTCCCCAGATCACTTCACATTTATGTCAACCAGCTTCCAACGAGTAGCTGCAGAGGCTCTGCCAGTTGACTGCTGGGGAATTTGGGGTGAGTGTCTTTCTTATTTTGAAAACTAAAAATGACTTCAATTGAAAGAAGAAAAAAAAATTATGTGGCAAACCCCAAATTCCCTCCCCACCAGAGGTGTTCGTGGTTAAACTGGGATAAATCTCCCAATGCACATGTGTGATGTTTACAATTAATTTGGTTTAGCTCACAAGTAGAGATCATACTGTACACAATATTTATTACATGCTTTTGCAGTTAACAACATTTTGTGAATAAATTTTCCTGTCAGTAAATATTCTTCTCCGTTTGTTTATTTATTTAGTTTCCTTTTTTTGTTTTGTTTTGTTTTGTTTTTTTACATTTGTTTTTAAAAGCCCCCATGTGAGTTACTCTTTCTGATGAACACTCCTCAGCAGAGCTGGGAGACAGCAGCAGAGGCCACATCTGCAATCCCATGAGTGCTGCTTCTCTGCCATTGACTCACCTGAGTCCAGAGCATATTCAGGTCTCTACTCCTTCAACCTCACCCTCTGTCAGAGGTGGGAAAGGACACAGCCAGCTGCCTATTGCTGAGTGAGGCTCCTGAAACAGGAAAGTCAAAGGTACCCAGAGGAAGAGCCAAGGAGACCATGAGCCCCAAGAACACCCCAACGCTCCTCTTCTTCCCATAGAGGCACTTTGGCTATTTTGCCATCCCACTGACATTTGCCTATAGCTCCTTTCTTAGGTTCTGGATTTTTACTGGAACCCAAAGTAGATCAAGATAAACATGCTACAGTTTGAAGTTGACTGCAGCTGCCTCTGTTATCTTGACCTTCACATTTTCAGTGTGGTCTAGACCATAGATAAGTCCACTTCAGACGGCACAGGAAACAGTAAAAGAGAATTGCTTATCTCCCTCTATTTTCCCTCTTTTCCTGGTCAGTCAGAGAGAGCTGCTTCTTTGTTTTCTCTTGTCAGCCTCGTTTGGCTTTATGCATTTTTCCCAGGCAACATGCAGGGCGACTGGCAATAGAGCCTTCTCCAGCCCCTCTCCCTGCTTCTGGGTGACTTCTCTAGGAGAGGCACTCTGCAGCAATGATTTAAGTAGTGAAGGCAGAACAGAAGGAAGGAAAGAAAAGCAGTGCAGAGATCAGTGGGGCTATCATTTGTATCTTTAATTAAGGTAGCTTTCCATGCCTCGAACAGGTATGAAGGTGCATGGTTATGTCTACAGAGGACCTTAGGATCTTTAACTTCTCATAGGTTACGTGCAGTGTGAGAAAGTGTAAATAAATAAATATACCTATGATAGGTAGATATGTAATAGAGATAGACAATGAGAAATCAATTAAAACTAACTACATAGTTCAAATGGCCCTATTACATTTTTGAGCTCCTTTTTAACACTAATATATGTCAGGAGAAATCTCATATATTATCTCAAAGCCTGAGACATTTCCTAGGAGAAATTAGTCACAAGAAATAAATAAAATATAATAAGTGCTATGGTAACAACTTGATTTCTTGCTTTGCTTACTAAATGACAGAATTATGTTTAATAGGCAAACAGCTGAAAATAACTCCAATATAAATAATGACATAATTATATAGTACAATAACTTTCAAATCCACTCCTTATTGTCTCTTCTTACCAGTGCCTTACTAACAATACATAACATTAGTGAGTATTTGCTAGACACAAACCCCAAGATCATTTAATCTTTACAACCCAATGAAATAACTACTGCTCTGATCCTTGATTTACAAAGGAGGAAACTGAAACATGAAGTAACAAACTGCCCCCAAGGTCATGGCTTGTCAGTCCAGAATTCTAAGTCATATCATCCAGGTACCCATGTGTTCTACTGCACCTCTTGCCAAGAATTGGCTCTTATTCCTTCTCCTATTTTCTGATTGGTTTCCCTGCCTCCACTCTCTCCAATCCCTCATTATACAGCTACCAGTGTAGTTATCTGTATGAAAGGTTATATCATGTCAGCATGCCTATTTAAAGTCCAACAATGATTGCCTCTTGTCTACAGAACAAAGTCCAAGCTATTTAGTGTAGATCCCAGCATGTTTCATATTCTCACCTGAAATGTCCTTTCAGTTCCATCACTTTCCCATCACTTTATAAATGTCCTCTGCATTTTCTTATCTCTGGGCTTTTACATAATATTCCCTGCCTCGATTTTTGTTACTGTTTAGAATCTAAATGACATTCCAGCTCCTCCATGCAGTCTCCCTCTATCTCACAGCCAGAATATCTCATTCCTCTAGGTTTCCACTGTACTTTATTGCTCTCTTTTTTTTGGCCACCTTCAGTATGCCTTTTTTGTGCTTATCTGGATTATAGCTCCTGAAAATACAAGACTATGGCTTGTGCAACTTTAAACTTCACCATTCCTTAACAGTGCCTTGTGCATAGTAGGCACTTGATGCATGTTTGTTGAACTGAATTCTGTTAGATTCTGTATTGGTTGAGAATATCAAATGTTTGCTACCCATGTCCATTTTAACTCACAGAGACGGGTGGGAGAAGTTTGCTGTGGGCATGTGGGAAGGAAAACTTCCAAAGTTGGTGGAGACCATGACTCAAAATATAAGGTCACTGAGTTAACAATTGTGGTCTCATATTTCTTCTGCATGAGTAAGAAAAGGAAACTACTCTGCAGCAAGCACAGCTTTTTTCCTTCCGCCTCCTGTTTACTATTCTTTTCAATGGCCCCATCATGGTTAAGCCTAACCAACCACTACAGAAATGTCTCCCCATCCCATGAAATGCATATGGGTTACTGCAGCAAAGGCAGACTTGTTCACAGCCTATTCTCTCTTCTCCTTCTCTGCATGTCCAAAATCCTCTTTGCTTCCATAAGGGCATTATCTGCAAAGGTGGTAAGTAGTATGTTATTGGATGGAGATAGATGGGACAAGGAATACGATATAAAAATAAATAAATCTTAAAAAGAAAGAGAAAGAATAAAAGAAGACACATAAAATATTTAAATTTTTGGACAGAAAAATAAACAAAAATTACAAGAAGTAATGAAAAAGCAAAAACAAAGAGAAATAGGGCATCTCAGGAACAAAAGAAGCTCCTCTCATTTTTTTCTTAAAACAGTACTCCGACCTCTGCTAAAATCTAGAACACTCCAGTCACCATTACTCTCTAAACCTGACTTTCTCAGGTGTAGTTATAATAAAAACTGATATCCCTCTCCCAAAGAGGTAAAATGCTTGCCTCCAAATCACTGAACAGTCCAATAGAGACTGTCATCTGCCACTAGGTAAGTCCCTACTTGATATTGCTTGTTCATGAGTCAACTTTGTATTGATATTGTGCAGATTAATAGAAAGAATAACTTCCATTAGACCATATGCCAGGATTTATCCTCTCCCTACTTCCTCTTTGCCAGTGTCATATATTCCTCTAACTTTGTCTATTGCCAACCATTATAAACAGTAATTTCAAATATACAAATAAATTTTAGTCCAGTTGAATAACACTGAGATTGTCATCAAAGATTAAAAGTAGAAAATCTCAACTACAGTCTTCACATTTCTGCAGTCCTCCTGGCACAGGTTCAAAACGTCAACGGTTCTTTCTAGCAATTCTTTATCACTTCACTTTTAGCCCAGGAACTCTCTAGGTCTTTGTTTCAGATTCTGCTGACTAGTATATTCCAGGTCCACAACCCAGACCAAAAGTGAGGTATTTTCCTAAGCTACTTGGAGTGCTCAGATCAGCCAAGTCTTTATTAGTTGATAGTTTTGTTTCACTTTTCTTTCTTTCTTTGGTGATTACAGCCATCATATGTTCCCTCCACATTGTAAACTTGATTGATCTTTCCTAAAGTCTATTGCTAAGAATCTGATATTCTCTCTGATCCTTCCTCTAGCCCTCTGTTCTAGGTAGCTTCTAAATTCTGCTCTCTACTATGAATTAGTGAGTCCTGGTTAGAATCAAACTAAGTGAAATTGAGCTTTAAAAATAAATTAAAATTCAGCAACTAGAAATAAAAAATATAAATAATTGCACAAACACAAGATGGGGCATAACTAATAGCTAAAGAAGTAAAGAATACTTGGGATTCTTACTTTTTCCATGCACATTGGCAGGCCACAGTGTAACGAAACTGATGAAAAGAAATGTGTTCTTATGCTGCACTCTTGGGAGTATCAAGACTAGACTATAGCAGGGAAAGTTCTACCTTTCTCTGCATATTCAGAATTTACATGAACTACTGTATTGGTACAGGTAATGCATTTGAAGAGGTATAAAGGCAAATGAGAGAATTTCTGGAGCAGAGAGTAATGAATAAGAAATAACAGATACACTGTCTGGAACAAGATAGAGTGACAGGAAACAGATTTGCTATACTTAGTGAAAACAAAAACAGAAAACTGGGTAAAATATACAATGCAAGATCTTTCAAGACATTGGACATTAGGCAACAAAGGACAGGGATCCCTAAGAGATGGTTAAAAAAAAAGTGAATTATATGATTATATCAGGTTACTGTCTTGAGAGAGATGTCAGGTAGTGGCACAGGGTGAGGAAAGTTGAGTGGGACTTGTTGAACTCCCTGAGTTGAAAGTCCAAGGAGGTCAAGGTCACTAGAGTTCACAGAACAGGGTACTGGAGAAGAAAGTGATGAACAGAGAAAAGTTCTTGGAAACTTTCAGAGTATCTCCCTCAAGTATTCAACAGAGTCCAGATCACAGACTATACGTGTTAGAAAACTACTTGTTGTTGGGGAAAGAACCATATGAAAGGATTAGAGCAAATGGATCCCAGTGTTCATACTGGGCTGTAAATAGTGTCTTTTCCCATAAAACAGACTAGAAAAATCTTACAATACATAGGGTATGAGTAAATTCAGAGGGTCTTGATTAAGTAATAGGGAATAATTAACCCCAGAGTAAATGCTACCCGGGTCTGACTAACAGATCTTAAAAGAAAGACCAAAAAGAAGCAAACTGTTTTCACGTTACTAAGCTTCATTTGAGAAGAAATTCAAAGAATACTTTTAGGAATACAAAAATACCCAGCACCCAGGAAGGTAAAAATTGCAATGTCCAGCACTCAATCAAAGATAAACAGACATGTAAAGAAGGAAAGTATGACAAAGCAAGGGGAACGATCCAGTGAAACAAACTCAGAGCTGATGCAGATGTTAGAATTAGCAGACAAGGCCACTAAAACATTTATTATAAGTGTACTCAATATGTGAATAAATTATATAGAGGCATAATCGAAGTTTAAGAGATGAAAGCTATAATCTTTCAGAAAAAAATACAATGAGTAAGATTGCAAACTCATAGAAATAGCAATAGAAACTTCACAAAGGAAGCATTGAGATTAAAGGAACTTTAAAAAAATATTAGGGAGCTGTAATTCCAAGTCACCTAATTTACATGTGATTTAAATCTCCAAAGTAGGAAGTAGAAAAAAATATTTGAAGAAATAATGGTGAAAATATTTCAAACACAAGGATGAATAAACATTTTATGTAAAGAACTAGATGTAATATTTTAGCCTTTGTGAGCCATACAGTCTCTAACTACTTAAGTCTGCCATTGTAGCATGTATGCTCCCC